GTGATCCTGGGTTCAGTCCTCGGTACCCTGCACAAACACACACATAAAATGATGGGAAATGTTTTATATTCACACACACATACTGAAAAGGAAGGGGAGAAAAGGACAAAGGAAGGAGAAGAAAAGAGTTAGAAAGTATCAGTCCTACCATTTTGAACACAAGGGCACTGAAGCCTGGAGAAAAGCCTTTAGCCAAATGACTTCACATGCTGGGCCAAGAAACTACATACTACATCTCCTGACACTTTGTCCACCTCCACTACCTTGCTACCTTCAGATGTTTCTTCATTTTTTCCTTTTCCTTTCCCTCCCTTCGTTCCTTCCTTTGCAGTGCTGGGGATTAAACCTGGCTCCCTGTGCATAGTAGGCAAGTGCTCTATCCCTGAGTTAAATCCTGAGCCCAAGATAAATCAAAATATAAAGTACCTTAAGCTATAAACACCTGTGCACCATTCTATTCCACCAACTTCTATGTCTAGCAATTTGTAAAACCTGTCTGAAGGGCTAGGAATGAGGCTCACTGGGAGAGTACATGCCTAGAATGTGTGAAGCCCTGAATTCAATTCCTAATACCCCAAAAGGAGGGGAAAAAACAAACAAACAAACAAAAAAAACCTCACACCCTCCTAAGGATGTAGGGCAGAAAAAGGATAAATAGCAGAGTCTAAAAAATATTTTTGCTTTTTGTGCTGTGGACTAAATAAACTTAGGGCCTCCAGCATGCTATAAGCATTCAAGCATTCTATTATTGAGCAATACAACCAGCCCAAACCACAAAACTATTTTTATGGGGGGCTGGGGTGGTGGCTCAGTGGTAGAGCGCTTGCCTAGCACATGCGAGGCCCTGGGTTTGCTCCTCAGCACCATATAAGAATAAATAAAATAAAGGTATTGTGTCCAACTTCAACTAAAAAATAAATATCTAAAAAAAAAAAAAAAACAAAAAAAAACTATTTTTATTTACTACAGCTAATGGGCCTGGGCTTTGGTTACTGGGCTCCATATTACCTTAACTGTAACTGTTTAATGGTAGCAGGTATAAGTCACATTATAGGATGTTTTCTTTGAGGGGTGAAAAAAGAAAGCAGGTAAGCTTAAGCACTATTAAATCACCTCTTCTGCAAAGGTTGGGTATGTTTAATGATAGTAACAAGAAGGCTAGAGGGGATCAAATACATATCCTCCATATGAAATATGGAGGATATGTATTTGCCTGAAAAAATAATATCTCAGTATGTGTGTGTCTGTTGCTGGGGATCAAACCAGAGCTTCTTGCATGTCCATATCTTAAATTCTTTTTGTTTTTAGCAGAGGGGTTCTGGGGATTGAACTCAGGGGCACTAAACCACTGAGCCATATCCCAAGCCCTACTTTGTATTTTGAGACAGAGTCTCACCAAGTTGTTTAGTGCCTCACTGTTGCTGAGGGTGGCTTTGAACTTGCGATCCTTCTGTCTCAGCATCCAGAGCCCTTGAACCCTGCCAACATCTCAATTCTTAAATCCATAGCTGAAGACAGTGGTTATCAGAGGCTATTTGGGGCTGCTTTTAGGAAAACAAAGTGGAGATCTAAAGTCAGCATCAAGTGGTGCACACTTGTAATGCCAGTAACTTGGGAGGCTGAGGCAGGAAGACAAGTTCAAAGCCAGCCTTGGCAATGTAGCAAGACCCTGTCTCAAAATAAAAAATAAAAGGGCTAGGGTTCAGTGGTAAAGCACCCCTAGGTTCAATCCCCAGTCTCTCAAAAAAATATAAATAAATAAATAGTCAACACCATTTGCATTTTCCCTTAAATGGCTCTTCCCTAGATATATCTCTGAGTGAAGTTGCTGTAGTGTGTTAAGCAATCTAGAAAAAAATGAGTTTTCTCTTTGTCATCTTATTGTATGTATCCAAGTATATTTCCTCTCCAATTGTGCCTAAAAGCCTAAAACTAGGCACAATGAAGTTAATGTGATGATTTGGACGACGATGGAAAACAAAATTTCATCACTAAATTATCATTCAGGCTAGGTATACCTCTCAGTAGTTAGAGCAATTACTAGGATGAGTCAGGTCCTGGGTTCAGTCCTCAGCACTGCAAAACAATTTTTTTTTTTTTTTTTTTGGGAAAGTGAGAGAAAGGCTGAGTTCATCAAAGCTGGTATTAGAGAACTGGCTTATATATTAGGGAGTTGTAGAAGAAAACTGTCACCTTCAGCTTTGTCCTTTCACAAAACTGGATTTGTCAGACAAATTCAAAACTATCAGGTTCTGAGTCTATGCTCTCTCAAAAGGCTAGTTTCCCCCACCCCCCAATGTGTATATGGGGTGCTAGGGATTGAACCTAGGACTTTGCCCACGCTAGGCACATACTCTCTCTCTGACTTATACAGTCCAAAACTAGACCACTTTTAACTTCTGATGATCTCATAGAACAGGGGTGGCAAACTACAGCCTGTATACCAACTCCAGCTGTTTTTGTAAAAATTTTTATTGGAGGGCTAGGGTTGTAATTCAGTGTATGTGAGGCACTGGGTTCAACTGTCAGCACCTCATATAAATAAATAAAAACAGGGGCTGGGGTTGTGGCTCAGCAGTAGAGTGCTCGCCTAGCACATGTGAGGCCCTGGGTTTGATCCTGGGCACCACATAAGAATAAATAAATAAAATAAGGTATTGTGTCCAACTACAACTAAAAAATATTTTTTTAAAAAATAAAAATATGGGGCTGGGGATGTGGCTCAAGCGGTAGCACGCTCGCCTGGCATGTGTGTGGCCCGGGTTCGATCCTCAGCACCACGTACAAAGAGAGATGTTGTGTCCTCCGAAAAAAACTAAAATAAATAAAATTCTCTCTCTCTCTCTCTCTCTCCCTCTCCTCTCTCTAAAAAAAAACAATAAAAATAAAAATATGCCCTTCAATAGATGAATGGATTAAAAAATGTGGAGGGCTGGGGATGTGGCTCAAGTAGTATCGCACTCGCCTGGCATGCGTGCGGCCCGGGTTCGATCCTCACCACCACATACCAACAAAGATGTTGTGTCCGCCGAAAACTAAAAAATAAATATTAAATAAAAAATTCTCTCTCTCTTTAAAAAAAATAAACTTTAAAAAAATGTGGAATTTATATACAATGGAATATTAATCAGCACTAAAAAATAACAAGATCATGGCATTTGCAGGCAAATGGTTGGCATTAGAGCAGATTATGCTAAGTGAAGTTAGCCAATCCCTAAAAAACAAATGCCAAATGTCTTCTCTGATATAAGGGGGGTGACTCAAAATGGGATAGGAAGGAAGAGCATGAGAAGAAGACTACCACTAAATAGGGAAGAGAGGTGAGAGGGAAAAAAAGGGAGAAGGGGAGTTGCACAGAAGATGGAAGGAGAACCTCATTGTTATACAGAATACATATATGATGTTGTGATGAGAAAAAGAAAAAAAAAAGTGTGTCACATTAGATTAGATAGAGACAAAGGATGGGAGAGGAAGAGAGGAGTAGGAGGGATAGGAAGGGCAGCAGAATAGAATAGACATTATGACTGATGTATGTACATTCCATGTATGTATTATATGACAAAATACATTCTGCTGTTATGTATGACTAAAAAAAATAAAAATAAATCACATGATTAAAAAAAAATTTAAAGACCTAAAAAAATAAATAAATAAAATAAAAATAAAGGTCCATCAGCAACTAAAAAATAATTTTAAACATTTTTTTATTGGAACATACATATTCCTTTGTTTACATATTGTCTATGGTTGTCTTTGCCCTATAATGGCAGAACTGAATATACAGAGACTATGTGGCCCACAAACCAAAAACTATTTTCAATCTGGCCTTTATTAAAAAAAAAAAAGTTTGTGGCTCAGCGTCAGAGTGCTCGCCTAGCATGTGCAAGGCCCTGAGTTCAATCCTCAGCATCACATAAAAATAAATAAAATAAAGGTATTGTGTGCAACTACAGTTAAAAAATAAATATATTAAAAAAAAAAAAGTTTGGTAAATTTTGTTTTGTTTTGGGGACTGGACACAGGGCACTCTACCACTCAGCTATATACCCAGACCTTTTTATTTTGAGGCAGAGTCTTGCTAAATTGCCCAGGGTGGCCTTGAACCTGCAATCTTCCTGCCTTAGCTTCCCCAATTGCTGGGATTACAGGCATGCACTAGCACACCCACCTTGCTAATTCTTGTAAAGGATTCAGCTAAGATGCTTAAGCACTCTGTTCTATTAAAGGAAAACCTATCTCATTGATATTCCCTTTTGTGTTCTGAAGGGAGGGTTCGCACTAAATTCAAAGCTGTTTTTATATCTGATATTATATGTAATAATTAGCCAAGAATGGAATATTTTTCTTGCATGTCATGTAGTGCAGGGATAGAAGGCAAGAATCTGGGAAACTATGAACTACAATGATCCAATTTAAGTAATTAAGACAGGAATCTAACAGTTCTCAAAGGCTCAATCTTATGGGAATTATACTAGCAGGCAAATGCCCAGAGAGGCTGAGAAAGCTAGCTCACAACTCTTCAGAGGACAAGAGTTCCTTTACTTACTGTGAACTGAAGTCACACTGGCTCAGAAGGCAGACAACAAAACCAAAGGGAACTATCTGTTTCCATGGTAAAGTGTACACAGGTCAAAACAACGTAACAATGTAAATAGTTTACTTCAGAGATACTGTAAGTAATCTGGACTATAAGTTTTCATCCAGTTCCTCAGGGGGTTAACTGAAACATGTTTTTGAAGGGTAAGTATCTTATAAAGCACCTTAGTAACAATTAAGATCACATAAACTGGAGAACTGTAGTATTTAAGAGGATTTCTGTAAGATATAAAAGTTATCTCACATTGCTGACAGGTAAGGGCTTTTGCAACTGCTCTCCTGACAAATACCTTGGAGGTACAAAATTCAAAATCAACATGCCCCAGATATGCCTCTGAGATAACTCACATGTAGGGACTAAACAAAGGATCACACATCTTTTCTTGGGGATCCAGATTACTTACATTTCTGAAGTCCAGTGTTCATCTGCGTGTGAGAAAGAAGCTGAAAGGACAGGTCACCTGGCCCTGGTAAACAGGCTAGCATGGCAGACCAGCATCAACACAACATGGGGCAGTGGCTCACACTGTAATGACAAAAAAACAAGGTCATGGAACACAAGGCAATTCATTCAGGGAAGATACCAAGGAAATCAGATATGAGCAGCACAGGCCCAAGTTTAGGTAGATAAACAATTTAATTAACAGTATGTTTGCTGAATAATGTATCTACATGTTTATTTGTAGCACCAACCATTCTGATGGCTAAAATGTTATTTCATTCAGCATAGATGTACAAGTGGAAAAAATACCTATTCACACAAATAATTGGAAAATACAGGTATATTTGTAAAGTTTCCACTTTCTTAACAAGTACTAGAACTTACAGTAAGATGACTAACAAAGGCACCCAAAATCCAACTTGATCTGGTAATCAATCCTAACTCACTTTTAAAATAAAGGAGTCAGGTGCAATGGATCACGCTTATAATCCCAGTGACTAGGGAGGTTAACCCAGGAGGATTACAAATTGAAAGCCAACTTCAGCAACTTAGCAAGATCCCATCTCAAAATAAAAGAAATAAAAGGGGGACTCGGGTGTAGCTCAGTGATAGAGTGTGTGCCTGGTACATGTGAGGCACTGCTAAGTTCGATCCTTAGTACCACATAAAAATAAAAAAATAAAACAAAGGTATTGTGTCTATCTACAACTTTAAAGGGACTGGGGCCAGGTGTCGTGGTACATGACTGTAATCTCAGCCTCTCAGAAGGCTGAGGCAGTAGGATCACAAGTTCAAAGCCAGCCTCAGCAAAAGCAAGGCGCTTAAGCAGCTCACTGAGACCAGATCTCTAAAAACAATAGGGCTAGGGACATGATTCAGTGGTTGATCAGTGGTCGAGTGCCCGAGTTCAATCCTCAATAAGGGAAAAAAAAAAAAAAAAAGATTGGGCTGAGCATGGTGGTGCATGCCTATAATCTCAATAGCTTGGGAGGCTGAGGCAAGAGGATTGTGAGTTCAAAGCTAGCCTCAGCACTTTAGCAAGGCCCCGTCTCAAAATAAAAAAATCAAAAGGGCTGGTGATGTGGCTCAGTTGTTAAGCATATTTGGGTTCAAACCCTGGTATCAAAATAAATGAATGAAAATCAAAAACAAAGAAATAAAACCAAGAAGGAACAAAGAATCCTAGGACATCCAATTAACTGGTTTTATTGTTGTTGGGTTTTTTTTTTTTTTTTGGCTTTTGCTAAGGCTTCCTTTGAACTCCCTATCCTCCTGGTTTAGACTCCCAAGCCATTGGGATTACAGGCATGTGCCACTGTGCCTGGCACACACCCCCCACACACACACTGTGTGTGTGTGTGTGTGTGTGTGTGTGTGTGTGTGTGTGTGGTATTGGGGATTGAACCCAGGGCTTTATGCATGCAAAACAAGCACTGTACCAATTGAGGAAGGGAAGACTGGAGAAAAACAATACTTAAACCGTAGCTATTATTTGGGCAGAAATTTTTCTTTATACTTTGGCACATTATTTCTATAAATAAGTTTAAAATAAGGAAAAATTTTCAGGCATGATGGTGCACACCTGTGCATGCACCATCCCAATGACTCAGAAGACTAGGACAAGAAGATCAGAAGTTCTGGGTCAGGCTCAACAAATCAAGGAGACCCTCAGCAACTTAGACCGTGTCTCCAAATAAAAAATTAAAATGGGCTAAAGATGTAGAGCAGTGGTAAAGTGCACTGGAGTTAAATCCTCAGTACCAAATAATAATAATAAATACAAATAAAGAAAAATTTACCAAACTCAAACCCTCAAACCTAAAGCAATGTTCACATGTGGATTGCTCAGACATTCACTCAGCAGTCTTGCAGATACCACTCTGTCCCTGCACAATTTTTTGTGTGTTTATTTATTTTATTTGATACCAAGAATCAAACCCAGTGTCTCATTACATGCTAGGCAAGAGCTCTACCACTGAGCCACAAACCTCCCCCCCCTGCACTTTTTTGTTGTTGTTGTTTTAATTTGTTATACATGACAGCAGAATGCATTTTGATTCATAGTACACAAATGGGGCACAATTTTTCATTTCTCTATTGTACAAATAGTAGAATCACACCATTCATTTGTTCATACATGTATCCCCTCTGCACTTTATATATATTTTAGATGTAGTTGAACACACAATCTTTATTTTATTTATTTATTTTTATGTGGTGCTGAGGATCAAACCCAGGGCCTCACACGTGCTAGGTAAGCACTCTACCACTGAGCCACAACCCCAGCCCCACCCCTGCACTTTTTAATAATTTGTTTTCCAATATTGGGAATTTTTTTTTAGTTTAATGATCCTAATTGGCTTTATTTTTTTAATCCTAGAATTAAAGACAACACTTCATTCCATACAATAACAGAATAAGGGTTTCTTAGGTTTCTCTCCTCCTACAACCCAGAGACACATCTATTTAGAAAAACAGATATATATTTAAGGCAGAATCTATCCCTTGAAGCTTCCTGGCTTGCGGAGGTTGTAATCAAACAGGAAAAAAGCAACTTCCCTCCACAACCCATTCTAGAAAGCAGAGATGTCAGTATAAAGCATTCTCCCTTGAGAGCTATCTCAAGGAAGAGATATATTTTGAGGTAAAATGAGAAATACATGTTCAAAGAAGAATGTGGGTCATCTTGAGAGTGAGAAGCTTTTGGAGTAAAGCAAAGAATCCACATTCAAGGGAGAATATCGACCATTCCCAGAGGGAGAGAGCAACCCTAGAATACTTTTGAGTTCTCACTGGCATCCCTCTGGGTTGCTAAATATAGAAATTCTAATTTGTGACACCCCCTCCCCCATTTTTAAGAGTTCTGGGATCCATCTGCCATCCTTTCCAAAAGACTGCCTTCAATGCTAAGGGAGGCTTCAAGCCCCTTGACCAGTTTTACTCATGTCAAGAATCAAATCCTGCTAGGTCAGGGAAGAAATGGAATGGACTCAAGACTGAAGTTTATAGGGACTGTGATTAAAAAGGAAAAATGTAGGCTAGGGTTGTAGCTCAATGTTTGAGCTCTTGCTTCACATGCATGAGGCACTGGGTTTGTTCCTCAGCACCATATAAAAAATAAACAAGTAAAACAAAGATATTGTGTCCATCTACAACTAAAAAAAAAAAAATAACAACAATAAAAAAAAAGGAATAAAGCAAGTTTCCTCCACAACTCATTCTAGAAAGCTGAGATGTCAGTATAAAGTATTCCTCTAGAGGTATGGCAGCTAAACACAGGCCTTTTATTTAAAAACTTTAAATCACCTCCACATTATTATCACATCTGCTTTTTCTTAAACATAAATCCCAATATAATTTTACAGCTCATATTTCCAGGAGCACAATTAGACTCAGAAAATTAACACTAGCATTATCTTCTGAAAGGGCCTCAAAATTCAACTCCTGCCTTCAGAACAGATCAAGTAGTAATGCTGCAGACATCACAGCAAAAACAGAATGGTTTCCTTGGCCTCTCTGTGAGCTCTCAGCAAGCTTTGCTTCCACCAGCTGGTAAGCCAGGACTGCTACCTGAGGGGCCAGAGTTATGGTATCACAGCACAGAACTAGGGTGTTCAAGTTCTCCTGAGGCACCTGCACAAGGGCTGGCATTTCCCAGGCTACCACTAATTAAGGAATAAACCTAATTTCCCCATTGGAAAAATTCAAATGTACTTTCATCTCTTTCTCCTGAGCCTTGCCTCTATTCAGAAGAATATTAGATATTTCATTAGAGTTGTGATATGACTTTCTCTGCTCTCCTGGGTAAAATCTGATAAAGGGTCATCTTTGCCTGGGGTGGGGGATCCGTGCTGGTAGGGAAACCTCCATCTGCATTTGTACTGTTTCTCCCTTCTCAAGTTTTTTTTTTTTTAATATTTATTTTTTACTTGTAGTTGGACACAATACCTTTATTTTATCTATTTTTATGTGGTGCTGAGGATCGAACCCAGGGCCTCACACGTGTTCTACCACTAAGCCATAACCCCAGCCTTCCCTACTCAGGTTTAAGACAACTAAAGGATAAGTAAAAGAGCAAGAACATTCCTCATACATGATTTGGTGGGAAAAGATACATTCTATTAAATGAAAACTTCCTTGGGGAGGCATATGATGAGCCAACTCAACTTCCCCTGACAGTCTTACCATCCACCATCTATCTAGTGCCTTCAATGCTACTTCACCAGTTTTTTCCTGTTTTTCTTAATCTGCCTTCAACCCCCACCTTGAAAACAAACCAAAAAAACCCTCCTTGGTCACCCCAAAACCCAGATTGATCAGCCCAGCCTCTGACTCACGCTGTGACTCAAAAATTTAAATCTGCCATTTATGGACTTTAATTGTGGCTCAGCAGAAGAGTACTTGCCTAGCATGTGAGGCACTGGGTCTTATTTTCAGCACAACATATGAATAAATAAAATAAAAGTCCATCGACAACTTAAAAAAAAAAGTCAGGTGCAGCAGCACATGCCAATAATTCTAGGTACTCATGAGGCTGAGGAAGGAGGATTCGATTTGAGACCAATCTGAACAATTCAGTGAAACCCTGTCTCAAAGAAAAGAAAAGGGCTGGGGCTGTAGCTCAGTTGGCAGAACACTTGCCTAGCATGTGTGAGGCACTGGGTTCGATCCTTAGCACCACATAAAAATAAAGTAGGGCTTGGGATATGGCTCAGCGGTTGAGTGCCCGAGTCCAAAACCCAGAAAAGTGTCTGGGAACGTAGCACAGTAGTAGAGTGCTTGCCTAGTAAGCGCAATGCTTTGGGTTCAATCCACAGTACAACTCAAAAAAAAAAAAAAAAGTGGAATTGGGAGTAGTTCCCAAATCAGAGCATCACTGACACCCCACGTACGGGGGTGTGTGGGGGGGAGAATGTTACATCCATTGTTTATCTGACTCCTAAACACATTCATTTTAAGAGATTATGATTAAGAAACTCAATTAGGGGCTTGGGTTGTGGTTTAGTGGTCGTGCGCTTGCCTAGCACATGTAAGGCACTGGGTTTGATCCTCAGCACACATAAAAATAAACAAATAAAAGAAAG